AACTGCAGATAGGAGCGTTAAGGTGGAAGCCGACGTTGCCGATCACGAACATCAAGGGATTAGATTTCATCTTGGGGCGTGATTTTCTGAAGCGATTCAACCCCGAGATCGACTGGGTCAACCGGAAGGCGTGCATCTACAATAATGGGAAACGTGTGGAGCTGAGAAGTTGGACGGATACAGGGAATGTTCCTGAAACAACACTGGCACGATTCGAACGGACGGTGTATGAGTGTAACACGGGTTACTTAGCACTGGTGATGGCAGCAGCAGAGGAGGAGAAACCAAGTACGGAGTTACCTGCAGCAGTACAGGAGAGGTATGAGCAGTAAAAGCATATTATGCCAAACGACCTGCCTGCAGGAGTGCCTCCAGCGGGAACCTACGAGCACGAGATCGTGGAGGAACCAGGTGCGGAACCCATCTCGTGTGCACCATACCGCCTTAGTCCGACAGAACTGACAGACATGAAGAAACAGATAGAGTATCTACTGGACAGACAACTGATACGCCCATCCACCTCTCCTTACGGCGCACTGATTCTCTTTACTCCAAAATTAGACGGTAGTTTACAGATGTGCATTGACTACCAGGCAATAAACAAATAGACATCTGGAAACAAATACCCCATACCGCGCATAGACGACATACTGGACCAATTGCGTGGTGCAACAGTATTTTCGAAGCTGGAACTACGGTCGGGGTTGGCAGATGCAGCCGTTAGTGGGAAATTCATCATTCAGATGGATATATCAACGGCATTTCTCAATGGGATATATCAACCTGACTGGACAAAACAGCAGGTGGTAGGTTGGGAAACAACCTCTGGTTCTGTTTTTCCAACCTGGGAAAACAACAACCAGATTCAGGTCCTAAAAACAGAACCTGTTTTGTCTTTGCCCAACCAGCCAAATGCTGGTTCCGCTGGTTTCCCCTGGCCCTGTAGCATGCAGATACAGACAAACAACATCCAACCTTCACCTAAATTGTACCTCTATAGTGCCTGCCCTGCTACACTATAGTCAACCAAACAAAACAGTACAATTTCGAGTTGAATAGAACTGAATCTGCGCAATCAAGTAAGTTGAACCGCAAAGCTTCCATCTTGGGTTCCTTTGCGAGCTCGTCCTTTCTGCTTGTACTGTTCATAGCGCGTACAATGTTGTGCCGAAGCGCACATTGCGCGAGTACCTGCAAATGCATCAAGCGAAAATTGCGAAAGCAAACAAACACACGAACATTCCATTCATACGCAAATGTGAATTCGCACACGCATACTCGTACAAAAAGACGGCAGGATGTCATGCAATGTGAATTTGCACCCAACAGACGCCGCTGCACCTGATCCTCCACGTCGACATCGGGATAGCACACCGAGGTCAGCTTCGTAATAACCTCCTAGGCGACTCTCGAGCACCCTGCAGCGCCCGTTAACCCGGTAACTGGGTCGACCGGGCAACCAGGTTGACGCCACCAGCTTGACGTCCTCCCAGGTCGGCGTTTAGGCGCCCGGGTCGGCGTACAGGCGCCCAGGTTGGCATCAAGGCGCCCAAGACGCCGTCCAGACGCCTAGGTCAGCGTCCAGGCACCCAAGACACCATCCAGGCGCCCAGGACGCCGTTCAGACGCCCAGGTCGGCGCCCCAGGCGCCCACGACGCCGTCCAGACGCCCAGGACGCCGTCCAGACTCCCAGGTTGGCGTCTAGGCGCCCAGGACGGCGTCCCCCACTGCAGCAGGTTGGGTGAGGTGGATGGAATTGGTTGGGAAAGTGACAAGGTCATAGTTGGGGTGCCTATAGGGATGGGATTTGCTGTGACTTTGGGGACTCCTTGGGGACCTTCCTTGTCGTCTTCCTGGTTTCTAGCTACTCCAACTTTCCTGTGTGGATCTTGTGAGATAATCGTGATTGAGTTAAGTTTCTATGGCAGCAGACCCTCTAGTGCGCCGAAATTCATAACTCGGGTTGTACTTCATCTTTTGATACGATTCAAATTGGGAAAGAAAGCCGGTCAAGGACTACAACATACTCGAGATTAAGAACATTATACCAGTGAACGTTGCGTCAACAACGTTTCTTGTGAAGTCGGCAATTCTGTCCTAAATTCTAGTTTAACGATTTTGAGATATTTGTGCTGTCAGAGCTGATTAAGGACTTTGTCAAAAGTCTACCGAAGTATGAAGACCCTCCTAGACCCACCATGGCCTGTGGGCATGCCTAAGTGGAGTTCTAGAGGTTGGATATGACTTCTGCTAAGTGGAAACTCTGCCAAAATTTCGTTGGTGCCGACACTTGTGAAAATTTCGTAGATCTATATTGTGACCAGCAAAGGGGGGAGCTGAAACCTGTGATTGGGAGCAGAGGAGATGAATCAAGGAAGTGGAGATGCAGCTGAGAAGAGGAGTGAACTGCCACCATCTAAGATCGAAGCTTTGGATGGCTCCAATTATGAGGAATGGAGTGGACGGATGAGGAGCGCTTTCAAGCGCTACAAGCTGCTGAAAATTGTGATGGGGGAAGAGAAGATGCCGGAGGAAAGAGATGTCCGCGATCGATGGATTGAGAAGAGCACGGTGCTGTACGGCCTCATCCTCCAACCGGTCAACAACGATATGTTCCAGCACATCAAAGACTTAGTGGAGCTGGACGACTCCGGACTGAAGGCGTGGAAGCTACTACGCGATGTGATTCAGCCCAACACGCTGCCGATGGTGATTGTGTTGGAGAAGAAGTTGGCTGCCCTCTCCATGCGACCGGGCGATGATGTGAAGCCGGTCCTTACCAAGATCAAAGACACCTATGCGAGGATGGCAGCGGCGGGCAGCAAAGTGTCGGAGATGCAATAGTGCACTAAAATCATCTCGGTGCTCGACAACTCATGGGACAACCTCATCCCCACCCTCAACACTTAGCAGGACCAGTGGACACATCAGTGGCTACGACAGCAGATTCTGCAGAAGGACTTCCGCAGGCGCCACACGAGTGGTGGTGCTGCCAACAAGACTGCTGAGGGGTATGGAGCTGCAGGAGGCAGCAGATGAAGAGGGGGAGGGAGAGGCCGAGGTGACTACAACGAGGGGCATGGGAGCTCTGGTAGCAGGGGGAGCACCCAAATGGATGGTGCGTGTTGGTACTGCAAGAAGGCTGGCCACCCATGGTTCAAGCGTTTCAGCCGGTTTGAGGGATGGGCGCCTCCAGGCATGAAGCCGCCAAGTGGTGAACGTGCACGAGGTGGCGCCGTGCAAGGTTCAGGTACACAAGGTGATGGTGCACAAGGTAAAGCCTTGGGATTTAATGATTTAGTGCCCCCTGGGAAGATAAAGTTTGTGGCTGCCGCTTCAGGTGCTTTGCTCCTTGTGATTGGTGTGGGAAATGCCAAGGTGATGGGAGTCAATGGGGAGCTTGTGGGTCTGGGGAATATGCCGCAAGTTTAAGGTTTGTCCGCTAACCTTCTTTCTGTGCGCCAGCTGCAGAAGAGCAAGGCTAAAGTTACATTTGGCCCATCCACCTACCGTGCGAAGCTTGGGAAGCTGCTATTATAAATTCTAGAGGAAAAGAGCAACTGTATCAAGGACCTATAGCAGCTCCCCATCATCCCTTGGAACGGGAAACCTCCAGCAACGGCAGCTGCAGCAGTAACGGCTAAGGCAATTGCAGGGGGAGAGGAGATTGCACCAACTTCTTGGGCCATTGATGCAGTCTAAAAGGTGCAGCAGCTACAGCAACCACATGGTGAGGTGCTTGCTGGTGTGGACGGGACAGCTGCATGGGCAAAGGCTTCATCTGGGAGTGGGAGACGTGGCACGAGACGTTGTGCCACATCACGGAACTGTCGCTGTACTTTCGGCTGTGCCCCCGGTTCTATTTCTATCCTGTGGTCGTGCAGTCGCTGAAGTGGCAGTCCTGTTGGCAAGTCGTACGGGAAAATCCCACTTTACTGTTTCAGTAACCCTGCAGATCATCCGGTATGTCGGCGAGCAGTTTCTGTAAATCACTTCCCTTGTCTGCTGAGTCTGTTCTTACGTCACCTCCTGAGTCGTCTCTTACGACCTCCACCTCTACCCCTATCACTGACTACTACCGTGCCGCTCGTCCTATTCTCACTCGTGTTCTCGCCTCTCTATTCACAGACCCTCGTGCCTTTCCGTCGTCTGTCTCGGCTCTTACTGCCGCTATCGCTGACTTTTCCGCCACTTGCCGCCTTGAATACGCCTCCCAAGTGGTGGCTGCTCCTCCTACCCATCCCCTGTCCGCTGGGGGTGAGTTTGCCTTTGGCTGTAATGTCCTAAATGACAGGCATTTTGAGCTAGAGTTCTTGGCAGCCGCTTCTACCCATCTCTGTGCCATGCCGCTAGCCCCCGTGGAAGACCCCGACGCACCGATCCCTTGACATACCGATTCCTCGCACGTACAGTGAGGCAGTGTCAGGGCGGTGGGCCTCTCAGTGGATAGCGATAATGGAGTTAGAGATGGCGTCTTGGAGATCCACAAGCATGTACGTCGACACAGTTCCCCGACCTAGGGCGAACGTAGTCGATGTGATGTGGATCTTCAAGGTGAAGCGGCCATCGAGATCACCACCTGTCTTCAAGGCGCGCTATGTGGCTAGGGGCATCAGTCAGTGCGAGGGAGTTGACTTCTTCCAGACATAGGCTTATGAGCCTAGGCCAAGCGGTAGTCGAGTAGTTTGAGCCAAGGAGAATCGAGAATGGTTGTGTTCACTGTAGCACACAAAGTACATATAGCAAACTAGCAAAGAAGCACGGCCAAACAAGCAAATATATAACTACACTAACACTAACTACAAACAGTTATGTAAATTATGCAAACATAGTTTGACACGCTTCCTGAACTGTTTGCAGGTAGAAGTGTAGAACGCCCGCGGAGGGGTACACTTGGCGCAGCGGAAGATGGCAGAGGGGTAAGTGAGGAGGAGGCGAGAGAGAGAGATAAAGAGAGGGGAAGAAAGGAGAGAAGTACTAAGGAGGGGGTAAGAGAGGGATGAGGTGAGGAGTTGAGAGGGGGCCACTCGTGGCGAAACCCTCATAGTAACCCCCTTTTACAAAGGGGGGAGGTGAGAGAGTGACGAGGAGAGGAGGTGGGGGGGAGCCAAGTGCGGCGAAACCTCTCTTAGTAACCCCGAAATCCCCACACCCATTCAACCAACCCCCCTTAACCTCACCCCCCATAACAGCCGCCCCCTCAGGACCGCACCCCCCCCCCTCTGTCTTCTTCCACACCCCTGCCCCACCACAGTAGTCCTTGCAAAATTCCTGCTGCCACCCCCTCAGCCCCCCCCACTCTACGACACACGCGGGAGTGAGCAAGAGGAGGAGGAGGCGGCTGTGCTGCTTCTGCTCACAGCGGCCAACCCTCCAACCCCCCGTCACAGCAGTAGCCGCGGGAGGGGAGACCACGGGGGAGGGAGGGGGGGGGGGGATAGAGGGGCGGGCGGCAGAGCGTGCGGCTGGCGCTGGCGGTTGTGCTCTGGCGGGGTCTCTGCTGGCGGGGTCTCTCTGCCAGCGGGGTCTCTGCTGGCGGTGTCGCTGGCGTTGTAACTGCTGGCGAACCTGTTGGCGGCTGGCGGCTGTTGCGGCGAGCTGGCTGGCGCGTCGGTGGGCGAGCTGGCAGGCGCGTGGGTGGGCGAGCTGGCAGATGCGTCGGTTGGCGAGCCGGCTGGCGTGCTCGTCGGCAGGTCCGACGGCGGGGTCGCAGGTGCGTGGGCGAACACGCTGGCGATTTCTCTGGCGGGCCGCTGGCGATTTCGCCGCGGGTTGCTGGCGGGTCCGCTGGCGTTCGCCATAGCGTCTGCCGCAGCCGTCATGATGAGCGCCGCGACGCGACGGGACGGCCGCGAACGTAACGCCGTGATTTTTTACGTGCCGAGCATAAGCAAATACGTGCGGCACTCCCACGACTCGAAAATCTCCTTGCGAACCAGTCGGTAGCCGCAGCAGCAGCAATGACGGCGACACCGAGAATTGCATCTGCGACAACGGCAGCAGCTACGGTTAATCTCGAAGCAGTGAAGCCGAGTCTATCGGAGGCGTTTGATCCTACAGTTAAAGGAAGCGACGTTAGTCGATTTGTAGCTGAACTTAAAATTTACTTTGAAGCCGTTGGATGCACGACCCCGATAAAAGACGCAATGCGCATACGGCTCGCAGCAACACTGTTACGCGGCCCAGCTCTAGAGTGGATCAGCAACAAATTGAAGGCGAAGGGACGTGGACGCAGTTTTGTGCAGTATTGATCGAACAGTTCGACACGTTGAACAGTAGCTACTACGGAACACGACATATCAAGCCAAATAGTGGCATGGAGCGATTGGCACCACCCACTACTGCCGACCAGATGGAGAACGACAAGGACAATGCGACGCAGCGGCTAGCAAAAAAAGAGACGTGCGAATTTTGCGGCGCTACAGGACATCGTATATTGGCGTGTTGGAAAATGAAGAAAAGGCGTGCGGAGCTGAAGGGCAAGAACAGTGCGGCATCCCTGAAGCAGAAAACGGACAACGTGGCAACTTCGGAGAGGGCGAAAAAAGGAGAATATGATGGCGTGAATTTAAAACGTCACGACCAGCCGGCACCAGGGAAAATCGCCGAGACTAAACGAGGATCCGCGAAACAATACCCCGCAGCGACTGGGAAACTCCAGCCGTACACCCCGACAAGTAAGAGTACTACTTCTCGTAGGTTTCAAACCTTTTTATGGGAGAGTCAGAAATCAAACCGGTGCCGGGTAATATGGGGACCCTACTCCGGAGCGCTAATAAGGGACGAGCGTTCCGAGGAGTTAATATTCTCTCCCAGCAGCTCCGTTTAAAGGCTCTCTGTTCCCCACAGATGAAGCCTACACAGCTGCAAAGGCTTAGGGGAAGGTTCCAAGCCCAGGAGAAGCTGTAACAGCCTCGAATAAATCCTTCTAACCCTACTCAGGTGATACCTGATATTGAGACAGCAGCTTCGAGCGCAGGACCCTATGATACATTAGTTCTACCCTATGATCCTATAAGCAACACCATCTACAGCTACTCGGAGCGGCAACAACCACTAGTACTTGAGGTGATCTGCAACGGGCGACGCCTCCAGGCACTGGTGGACAGTGGTGCGTCCTACTCGGTGTGCGCCCGCGGGACGTTGGAGAAAATCGGAGAGTCATCGGAGGAGACCCAATTTACAGCAACAATGGTGGACGGTACGAAGCTTCCCATCCACGACGAGTCAACACTGCAACTGCAGATAGGAGCGTTAAGGTGGAAGCCGACGTTGCCGATCACGAACATCAAGGGATTAGATTTCATCTTGGGGCGTGATTTTCTGAAGCGATTCAACCCCGAGATCGACTGGGTCAACCGGAAGGCGTGCATCTACAATAATGGGAAACGTGTGGAGCTGAGAAGTTGGACGGATACAGGGAATGTTCCTGAAACAACACTGGCACGATTCGAACGGACGGTGTATGAGTGTAACACGGGTTACTTAGCACTGGTGATGGCAGCAGCAGAGGAGGAGAAACCAAGTACGGAGTTACCTGCAGCAGTACAGGAGAGGTATGAGCAGTAAAAGCATATTATGCCAAACGACCTGCCTGCAGGAGTGCCTCCAGCGGGAACCTACGAGCACGAGATCGTGGAGGAACCAGGTGCGGAACCCATCTCGTGTGCACCATACCGCCTTAGTCCGACAGAACTGACAGACATGAAGAAACAGATAGAGTATCTACTATACAGACAACTGATACGCCCATCCACCTCTCCTTACGGCGCACTGATTCTCTTTACTCCAAAATTAGACGGTAGTTTACAGATGTGCATTGACTACCAGGCAATAAACAAATAGACATCTGGAAACAAATACCCCATACCGCGCATAGACGACATACTGGACCAATTGCGTGGTGCAACAGTATTTTCGAAGCTGGAACTACGGTCGGGGTTGGCAGATGCAGCCGTTAGTGGGAAATTCATCATTCAGATGGATATATCAACGGCATTTCTCAATGGGATATATCAACCTGACTGGACAAAACAGCAGGTGGTAGGTTGGGAAACAACCTCTGGTTCTGTTTTTCCAACCTGGGAAAACAACAACCAGATTCAGGTCCTAAAAACAGAACCTGTTTTGTCTTTGCCCAACCAGCCAAATGCTGGTTCCGCTGGTTTCCCCTGGCCCTGTAGCATGCAGATACAGACAAACAACATCCAACCTTCACCTAAATTGTACCTCTATAGTGCCTGCCCTGCTACACTATAGTCAACCAAACAAAACAGTACAATTTCGAGTTGAATAGAACTGAATCTGCGCAATCAAGTAAGTTGAACCGCAAAGCTTCCATCTTGGGTTCCTTTGCGAGCTCGTCCTTTCTGCTTGTACTGTTCATAGCGCGTACAATGTTGTGCCGAAGCGCACATTGCGCGAGTACCTGCAAATGCATCAAGCGAAAATTGCGAAAGCAAACAAACACACGAACATTCCATTCATACGCAAATGTGAATTCGCACACGCATACTCGTACAAAAAGACGGCAGGATGTCATGCAATGTGAATTTGCACCCAACAGACGCCGCTGCACCTGATCCTCCACGTCGACATCGGGATAGCACACCGAGGTCAGCTTCGTAATAACCTCCTAGGCGACTCTCGAGCACCCTGCAGCGCCCGTTAACCCGGTAACTGGGTCGACCGGGCAACCAGGTTGACGCCACCAGCTTGACGTCCTCCCAGGTCGGCGTTTAGGCGCCCGGGTCGGCGTACAGGCGCCCAGGTTGGCATCAAGGCGCCCAAGACGCCGTCCAGACGCCTAGGTCAGCGTCCAGGCACCCAAGACACCATCCAGGCGCCCAGGACGCCGTTCAGACGCCCAGGTCGGCGCCCCAGGCGCCCACGACGCCGTCCAGACGCCCAGGACGCCGTCCAGACTCCCAGGTTGGCGTCTAGGCGCCCAGGACGGCGTCCCCCACTGCAGCAGGTTGGGTGAGGTGGATGGAATTGGTTGGGAAAGTGACAAGGTCATAGTTGGGGTGCCTATAGGGATGGGATTTGCTGTGACTTTGGGGACTCCTTGGGGACCTTCCTTGTCGTCTTCCTGGTTTCTAGCTACTCCAACTTTCCTGTGTGGATCTTGTGAGATAATCGTGATTGAGTTAAGTTTCTATGGCAGCAGACCCTCTAGTGCGCCGAAATTCATAACTCGGGTTGTACTTCATCTTTTGATACGATTCAAATTGGGAAAGAAAGCCGGTCAAGGACTACAACATACTCGAGATTAAGAACATTATACCAGTGAACGTTGCGTCAACAACGTTTCTTGTGAAGTCGGCAATTCTGTCCTAAATTCTAGTTTAACGATTTTGAGATATTTGTGCTGTCAGAGCTGATTAAGGACTTTGTCAAAAGTCTACCGAAGTATGAAGACCCTCCTAGACCCACCATGGCCTGTGGGCATGCCTAAGTGGAGTTCTAGAGGTTGGATATGACTTCTGCTAAGTGGAAACTCTGCCAAAATTTCGTTGGTGCCGACACTTGTGAAAATTTCGTAGATCTATATTGTGACCAGCAAAGGGGGGAGCTGAAACCTGTGATTGGGAGCAGAGGAGATGAATCAAGGAAGTGGAGATGCAGCTGAGAAGAGGAGTGAACTGCCACCATCTAAGATCGAAGCTTTGGATGGCTCCAATTATGAGGAATGGAGTGGACGGATGAGGAGCGCTTTCAAGCGCTACAAGCTGCTGAAAATTGTGATGGGGGAAGAGAAGATGCCGGAGGAAAGAGATGTCCGCGATCGATGGATTGAGAAGAGCACGGTGCTGTACGGCCTCATCCTCCAACCGGTCAACAACGATATGTTCCAGCACATCAAAGACTTAGTGGAGCTGGACGACTCCGGACTGAAGGCGTGGAAGCTACTACGCGATGTGATTCAGCCCAACACGCTGCCGATGGTGATTGTGTTGGAGAAGAAGTTGGCTGCCCTCTCCATGCGACCGGGCGATGATGTGAAGCCGGTCCTTACCAAGATCAAAGACACCTATGCGAGGATGGCAGCGGCGGGCAGCAAAGTGTCGGAGATGCAATAGTGCACTAAAATCATCTCGGTGCTCGACAACTCATGGGACAACCTCATCCCCACCCTCAACACTTAGCAGGACCAGTGGACACATCAGTGGCTACGACAGCAGATTCTGCAGAAGGACTTCCGCAGGCGCCACACGAGTGGTGGTGCTGCCAACAAGACTGCTGAGGGGTATGGAGCTGCAGGAGGCAGCAGATGAAGAGGGGGAGGGAGAGGCCGAGGTGACTACAACGAGGGGCATGGGAGCTCTGGTAGCAGGGGGAGCACCCAAATGGATGGTGCGTGTTGGTACTGCAAGAAGGCTGGCCACCCATGGTTCAAGCGTTTCAGCCGGTTTGAGGGATGGGCGCCTCCAGGCATGAAGCCGCCAAGTGGTGAACGTGCACGAGGTGGCGCCGTGCAAGGTTCAGGTACACAAGGTGATGGTGCACAAGGTAAAGCCTTGGGATTTAATGATTTAGTGCCCCCTGGGAAGATA